TTAAATAATAATAAAAATGTACCTATTTAAATTAAATTTGATCCCACGTAGTACTGAAAATGGCCCAGTTCCTACAATGGACATTGCAATCTCTGGCTCTCACAAAAGACCACAAAGTCTCATCTTACCCACAATGCACTAAGAGACTCTCATTCTCATCACGCAATTTTCCCACAAGGCATTGGAAAGTCCATGACGGTCAATCAAGTCTTCCTTAGGTCCCACCAGACACTGGCTTCACCTCGTGCGGACGGAGGAATGTGCTCGCACAATGCACCAGGACTTTGCATTGGATTCCTTATATCCTTCAGTAAACTTTTTTTTATCCATCTGTGATCCAGAAGGCACCTGGAGCCAGCCCCGGCCTCCTTACCTGGCACAGCGTGTACAGGAGCCCTGGGAGGTCCGATCCAGGTTCATGGTGAGGTCAGACCCTCTTCGAGAATTCTGCAATTGTCGCCCCAGCTCCTCCAGAATCGGTTTCACTGGGCTCAGCCCCTCCAGTTCGCTCCTCAGTGAAGCCACAGACACTGCTGAGCGCTCCATCCTGAGGTTTGAGAGTAAAAAGTCTTACTAACCTAATATCTAAATCTCCGTTAGGTGCTCCAGTGGTATAGTGGTTAAAGACTTTGGCAGCTAACAAGAAGTTTGGTGGTGCCATCCCACCAGTTGATCCACTAGAGAAAGATCAAGCCCGCTCACACAAAGATTTACAGTCCTGAAAACTCTAGGGTATGCGTGAGAATCTATTAAATTCTGGGTGATGGATTGAGCGTCCATCTGGTTTGCAATCCTCCTCCCTAGCCCTTCTCTCTCTGCTTTCTTTTTTTCAAAAAAATATTTTTTTAAAAAATAATTTTAATGAGCATTTACAGAGATTATTTTATTATTATTTGTGCGTGTACCATCAAATCAGATCTTGTCCCTCCTTCAGCAGAGCATCTGGTGGACTTGAACCGTGTACCTCTGGGATTGCAGTACAGCTTCCTGCTACTAGTCCACCAGAGCTCCCCTTCTCTCAGCTTTCTGATTGCTATCTATTGTATTTTTCAAGTCTAGAATGCTACTCCGCTTACAGCGTGCACAGCTCATCAGCCCGGCCTCGCAGCTCCTGCAGCCCGCGCGCTGTCTGAGCTTGCTCGCGCTGCGCCCGCTCCCACTGGCCCAGGAAGCCGTCCAGTCTGCCGCCCAGGCCACCGAGCAACCGCAGGGCCTCTTGCACTGCGCCCTCCTCCTGATGCCATCGAGCAGTCAACGAGGACACATCCCTCCTGGAGAAGAAGGAGGAGGGAATGGGTCAAAGTGAACCTTGGATACGCTCTCCCGACCCCGCCCTGCACAGACCACGCCTATGGCTCCAGACCCACCCATTCCTCAAATTCTCTAATCTCTCTCCCCAGATCTTAAAATTAACCTATATCCTGGTTGGGTGAGACTGAGAAAGATGGGATAAATTGTGTATACTGCATTGAAACAGATGAGAGAGAGAGAGAGAGAGAGGGAGAGAAAGAACACTGTTTAAAAGCGAGATATGATTGGGTATTATGATCATGACAAGAGTTCAGAATGAAGGCTACAAAGTGGAGTGGACTGAGGGGGGGGGAGAGATTGTATACCAATCAAAGAATTCTTCTTTTACTTTTCAAAGAAAAGAGTGAACTGGAGGCAGGGGTGGGCAGGGAGAAAAATGCAACAATGAATGAATGGAAATTCAAAGTCTCTGTAAAAGTTCATTAAAATTAATAATAATAATAATAATAATCAACCTATACCCTGCAAAGTTCAGCCCCTACCCATTTGAGCTAACCTGATTCTTACCTTGCTTCTCCTCCAAATCCTTCAGGTATCATCTCAAAGGACACCTTACTCTAACCCATTCAGAACTCCTATCTCCCAAGCCCTGCCCTCCTCAGTTTTATCATCCTCGGACCTGACACCTGCCAAGTCCTGCCATCCCAAGATGCTACCCCAGTGGGGAGCTCTGGTGACTTAGTGGCAAGAAGCTGCACTGAAATCTCAAGATGCCACCCCAGAACACTCCTTCCAATCTTCGAAGCTCCACCCCTAAGCTCCTACAGGTTCTACCAACGAGTCCCTCCTATTTTATTCCACCCGCTGAACCCTGCCCAATCCTGGAAGCCGCCCCTGAGATACTAGGCACTCTACCATTTGGATGTCATCCCAATTCCCTGAAGCTTCACCCCTAGGTCCCGCTTTCTGCATTCTGTCTTCTCAGCTCACCTCAAATTTGGCCAAGTGAGTTGCATCTTTTTGTGCGTCCCGCCCACTAGGTTCCGCCCCACACTATGCTCCCTTGTCCTCTATAGGCTACTGCTCTCTATCCCCGCCCCTCAGTGTATAGAGGCTCCACCCCGACCACGCCCACTCACCGTAATTCCTCTAAACCAGAGCTGACTTTTTGCAACTCAGGGTCGCTCGAAATGGGGCTCTCTCCTGGCCGGGACCCCATTCCCCAGCCGCTGAGCGCCATGCTACGCCGAGGGAGTTCATCGGGGCTCCCGGGAGGGCCCGAGCAGCTCTGGGGCGGGGTCGCGGGGCTCAAGGCGTGCCGGGAGAGGCCGGCTTCCAGTTTCTGCTCCAGCTCCTGCAGCTCAGCCTCCTGCCTCCGTGGAGTCTCATCCTGCAGTTGCTGCTGGAGATAGCGCAGCTTCTCCTGGACGAGGAGAGGGCCGGCTCACGGGGTCCAGCACCCCTTGCCGCACCTCTCCACCCCCAGATCTACCCAATGAATCCCCAAGAGTGGAAAGTAAGATTGAAACAGGGTATTGGGGGTTAGAGAAGTCCACCTTGAAGTTTAAATGGCTTCCTCTTGCTGGCATTAGAGAGGAGATGGGTAGATGGTCCCTTTGAAGTCTACCTGGATTTTAATCCTAGAATGCCTGCCTTTTTGGCTTCACCCAACCTTCCACCCCAAGGCCAAATCCTCTCACGATGACAAATTCCTGTCTGCTTAGGAAAAAAATAATTAAGCCTGTTGTTGAACAATGTGTAGACACATGGGCAGGTCAGCCACTCTCACTTGACGTCCATTTTCTCTTTTTAGAACTTGGGTGGACGAAAGCCCCATCTGTGTGTTTGGCGGTGGGTTCACCTGAAGCCTAACTTGAATCCTTCAGACTGATTAGTAACTATGACTTGAAACATGCTACGGCCGTGCAATGACGCCAGTCGGGTGGGATGGGAAGTCCCACTTGAAGTCTACCTCCAGTCCGTCATGCTTTTGATTCCCCAAATTCTGGGACTTCGCTTACCTCCAGCAGGGCTGAGTTCTGCTTCAGGACATTGGTTTTGATTTCAGCATCTTCCACCGACCGGGTCACCTTCCGGCAGTTCTCCTGAGTCAGGATACTGGGGCTGGGGCCCTGTCTTTCCCACTCCATTTCCAACTCCTGGCCTCCAGCTTCGCTATTTCCATACAGGCTCCGCCCCCAAGCACAGGACACACCCACTTCCTCCTTCAGGCGCCTGGTCCTCTATGGTTTTTTCCCTTAACGTCTATTCTCCATCCTTAGCCTTCCTCTTGTCCTGATTCCTCTGATAGCCCTGCAATCGATCATACACTCCTCCCACCTTTCTCTAGCGGAGGCACTGGGGATTCGAAAGGCCAGAGGCGCTCTGTCCTTGGGTTAGGCCACCAGAGCTACCTAGTCCCTTCCTGTACCACTCACGCCCACCTCTCCTGCCCCTCAGCGGCCCACCTTGAGTTGACTGCAGTAGCCCTCCAGTTCTTCTGCCTCTTGCCGTCTTCTCTCTAGATTCTCACTCAGCACGGAACACTCGCTCTGGAACGAGATGGGGAGTGCAGGTGGGGCTAGGTAGGGCCACAGGAGGACACTCCATGGGGTGGAGAAGCTGAGGATGGAAGCATCTCCTTTCTTTTAAGCCCTGGTCTCCCCACTGTGTTGGGAGTATGGCTGTGTTGGGTGGAAGGTGTATCCTAAGAGGAAGGAGGGGTGTTTGGGGACGGTGGTGAGGGTCTTCACACCTGCAGCGATTGCACGTGCTGGTTAACCCTGGTCGTCTTTTCTTTCAGGCTGGTGATGGAGTCTTTGGCTCGGACCAATCCATTGTTGACTCCGCTCTGGGGACGAAAGGGAGACAGGAGGGCGGTCAGAAGGTGTGAGAGGGCAAGTTTTGACTGTGAGGAGAATTCTAGAACCAGCAGGCTGGGTTTACACCTTGATGTGATCCCAGAAGGGCTCGATGACTTTTGGTAAAAGGCTGTATGCCTCTATTCAGTTCTTGGTGTTTATACTCTATCACGGCTTTGTTCACAATAGCAAAGAGTTGGAAACAACCCAAGTAAGTGCCCATTAACAAATGAATGTATAGAGAAGCTCTAGTATATTCACACAATGGAATACTATGCTGCATTGAAAAACAAGAAACTCATGAAATATTATATAAAATGGGTGACCCTGGAGGACATTATGCTGAGTGAAATATGTCAGTCACAAAAGGACAAATACTGCATAGTGTCACTGTTGTAAAATGGGACTGACATCAGAGTGGGGTGGAGACTGAGAAAGATGGGATAAATTATATATACTGCATTGAAACAGATGAGGGAGACATAATTAGGGATATATGACTAGGTATTATTGTCATGACAGGAGTCCAGAACGAAGACTGCATAGTGGAGTGGACTTGTGGGGAGGGCTTGTATAACAATGAAAAAATTTTTCTTTCAGTATTATTTTCAGTCAGTATTATTTCTTCCACAATTCTATAAATTGACCAAAGGTTTGCAGCAACCAAGGGAGTATTTATTCCGGGTGCGGGGGGCGGGGGGTGAGAAGTGGCTGAATCTTGGTGAGCTCTGGTGGCCTAGTGGCAAGAAGCTCCTCTGCAATCCTAGAGGTGAGCAGTTTGAACCCACCAAATGCTCTGCTGAAGACGGAGGGACAATCTTCTCCTGTACCAGTCAGATCCGATTTGACAGTACACACACACACACACAAAATAATAAAAATAAAATTAAAAGAAGTGGCTGAATCGCAATTAGAGTCATGAGATTGTTGGCATTTTAACTGACCCCAGTATCACCACCTCTTGCTCCTCAGCTGAATATTAGCCCTGCTACTAAATCTGAGCTCTTTCAAAATCTTCTTTCCAGGGGAGCTCTGGTGGCCTAGTGGCAAGAAGCTGCACTGCAATCCCAGAGGAACACGGTTCGAATCCACCAGATGCTCTGCCGGAGAAGGAGGCGCAATCTCCTCCTGTACCAGTCAGATCCGATTTGACGGTACACACACACAAAATAATAAAAAATTAAAAAAAAAACCAAAAAAAACCCCATCTTAAAAAAATCTTCTTTCCAAAGAATGGTTATTTTTTTAATCTTCCTAGTGGTTTCCTGGATGACACCACTCGAAAGGCTTCTCTTTATTTCATCTAACTCAGAACTCACTTAGGATTAAAAAACTTTCTGGAATGAGGGAAAAATTGTAAAAAAAACGTTTTTGCAAGCACCTATTTTAACATGTGAGTTAAACTTGTGCCTTTGAGTCAGAGCTGAGTCATTGTTGACCCTCTGGTAGGTTTTCAAGGCTATAAATCACACAAAAGGCAAGACGTTGTGCTGCAATCCCGAAGGCACAGGGTTCAAGGCCACCAGCTGCTTCATGGGAGAAGGATGGGAAATTCTCCTCCCATGTGATTGATGAACTGCCTTTGAAAACTTGCCAGAGTGTCAGCCATGGGTGGTTCTGATTCTACAGTACACAATAACATAATAAATCACACAGGATTAGATTGCTTATCTTTCTCTCAGGAAACAGAGGCTGTGCTTATCTTTGGGTTAGGAAACGTCTTATCTTTGAGTGACAGCACAACTCCTTACCCCTTTGGACACCAGAGCTTCCACTGACCATCACACAGATTGCAAAAAGAACAAGAGTCTGTAATTGAAGGAGTGCAATCAGAGTACTCCTTATGGCCAAGATTGTGAAACTCGGCCTCCCACACTGTGAACATGTTGTGAAAAGACATTATTCAGGGAAAGGCAGAGGGCCAGGGAAGGAGAGGAAGACCCACCACAAGATAAGATTGACAAGGTGACTGTAAAAATGGTCCTAAAAAACAACTAGGAGATATTATCTTACCCCTGTCAAAATAGCAAAATTTAACAGAGCAGCAAACAACAAATGTTGGCTAGGTTGTGGAGAAACTGGAACCCTTATTCACTGCTGGTGGGAGTGTAAAACGGTGCAAAAACTGTGGAAGGCGGTATGGCACTTTCTCAAAAAGTTGGAAATAGAAATACCATTTGACTCAGCAATGCCACTATTGGGAATATACCCTAAATAAATCAGAACTGCCACCCAAGCAATTATGTGCACACCATGCTTTGTTCACAAGAGTAAAGAGTCAGAAACAAACCCAAGTGCCCATCAACAAACGAATGGATAGATAAGCTGTGGTATATTCACACAATGGAATACTATGCAGTACTGAAAAACAAGGAACTCATGAAATGTTATGCAAAATGGGTGACCCTGGAGGACATCATGCTGAGTGAAATATCTCAGTCACAAAAGGACAAACACTGCATGGTGCCACTGTTTTAGAGCAAGACTGATATGGGGGTTGGGGAGAAACTAAGAAAAGGGGAAAAATAATGTACACGGCATTGAAACAGATGAGAGAACTGTATAAAAGCAATATATGATTGGGTATTATTGGCATCACAAGAGTCCAGAATAAGAGTTGCATAGTAAAGTGGTTGGAGTAGGGGGTCTGCATAACAATGAAAGAACTTTTTTACCAAAGAAAAAAGTGAATGGGGGGGGGAAGGCGGCAGAGAGGAAAATGTGCAACAATGAATGAGTGGAAATGCAAGTTCTTTATAAACTGGTGAGGACAGAGCAGGATAGGAAACAGTTCAGATCTATTAGTCACAGGGTCGCCATGAGTTCTAGTCAACTCAATGGCACCTAACAATAAAAACATTTTAATATTGCTTTGGTGGTCTTCTGAATGAAGAAAGAGTTGTAATGCCAATCCGAAGGCTAATGGTTCAAATCCACCATCTTACTTCAAACTAGAAAGTTCTTCTCTCATGAGATTTGTAGCCTCTGAAACACATTAGAGGGCCAGCTAGGAACCAGTTCTAACACCATGACGATGAGAGGAACAGAGTCATGTATGAAGCAACTTCAGCTCAAGGAGAGAGAAAGAGAGAGTCCTGGTCTCCGTGACTCCTGCCTTCCACGGCTTTAGGCAGTTAGACATAAGTTCAGGGGACTTCAGGGAGCTGGTGGCCTAGTGGACAGGAAGTTGCACTGCTAACTCAAAGATAGGTGGTTCAAATCCACCAGTTGGTCTGAGGAAAAAAGATGGACAATTTCCTCTTGTATGATTTACAGCTCAGAAAAAAAACCCTGCTGGAGGGTCAGCTACGAGTCCGTTCCAACTGGAGAGGAATGAGTGAGTGACTTTCTGAGGTGATGGGTAGGGACAAACAGAAACACTGAACAGTGTAAATGGAAAAGCTCAGTAAGATGTCAAAAGGGGGCTTTGAAAGTTCCACCATATCCAAAGGAATCTCCAAGGTCACAATCGTTGTCTTTTTTTTTCTTGTTGTGCACCACTGAATTGGATCTGACTGTCACAGGAAGAGATAGAACCTCCGTCTCTAGCAGAGTATGTGGTGGATTTGAACCATGCATCTTTGGGATTGCAGCACAGCTTCTTGCCAGTAGGCCACCAGAGCTCCCTAATCTTTGTCTTCTTGATGTTGAGCTTCAAGCCATATAGAAGACTTCAAGTCCTTGACCCCCTGCAATAAACACTTCACAGATCTTCATTTTCAGCAAGCAAGTTTGTGTCATCTGCATGACACACAGGTTGTTGATGAATCTTCCTCTAATTCTCATAACAGAATTATCATAAAAGCCCAGCCTCCTTGGATGATCTGTTCTGCAAAAAACTTGAACAAGTATGGAGACAAGACACTGACACACTCCTTTCCTGATTTTGAACCATGCAGTACTTCCTTGTTTTGTTCTGAAAAAAGGAAACTTATCCTGAGGTAAATCTACCTCTTGGTCCAAGTATAGATTTTGCATGAGGACAACCCTATGTTCAGGGATTCCAATTCTTCTCAGTGTTAGCCAGGATTTGTTGTGATCCACACAAAGGCCTTTGCATGATCATTGAAACCCAGAGAGACATTCTTTCGGCACTCTCTGCTCTCAGCCAAGATCCATCTGACATTGGTATGATGTCTCTAGTGCCATGGCCTCTGCTAAACCCAACTTGTGTTTCTTCTGGTAGTTCTCTGTCAAAGGTACTTTCCAGTTGTTTTTGGATAATCTTTAGCAGGATTTTGCTTGTGCAGATGAAGTAAACTCTTATTAATGAGTATAAAGTATAGAATGGACTTTTAACCTGGTTTGCTCCTGGGTTTTGGCACCAAAAAAAAAAGAATGGACTTTTAAAATATTATTCAAACAGTGGATTCACAAGTGTAGATAGAGTGTCATAGTATGGCCAAGGTTTTTGCTAACATGCAAGGTTCTTTGGCCCAGTGAGTGGAGTCTGATAGTTGTGATTCTTGACACAAGTGGGGGGGAAAAGGACTCAAATATCTGTCTATAAAAGACTCACTTTAAAGGGAGCTCTGGTGGCATAGTGGCAAGAAACTGCACTGCAATCCCAGATGTGCCTGGTTCAAATACACCAGATGCTCTGCTGGAGAAGGAGGGACAATCTCCTCCTGTACCAGTCAGATCTGATTTGATGGTACAATGCACAAAATAAAAAAAAAAAATAATAATAATAGACTAACTTTAAATAGCTGTCTTCCGTAGTGATTTCTTAATGGTTTTTGTTAGGTGTTGTCGAGTATGACTCATAGCAACTCTATGACCAACAGATCTGATCTGTCCTATCCTGTGCCATCTTCACACTTTCTGACACAGTAGAGGCCATTGCAACAGTCACTGTGTCGGTCCACCTGCTTGAGGGTCTTCCTCTCCTTCGCTGGCCCTCCACCCTTCCAAATAGCACGTGCTTCTCCAAGGAATAGCACCTCCTAGCAACATGCCCAAAGTATGTGAGGTGAAGCCTCAGCATCCT